TATATATTTCCTCTTAGGTTTTTTTAATAATCTTACAATAGATAACCATATTTACTCTTATGACAGAGGTCCATCAACTGATGTATAACTAATGACACAGTTGTGGAACTGATTCTTTTTAATAAAAACAAAGCTAAATTAAACTAAATACTATCACTTTTCCTTCCCAGAAAATTAATATATTCTTTTTCCTATTAGATAAAGCGTATTTTCTCCCAAACAGAAATGCAAATTCAGGTATTATTTTTTTAATACTATAGTGATACCCAGCACAAAGTTTTGTTGGAATCTAAGGATACAGGAACTTCCCTAAAGTATCACCCCCCATACAAACACCAGTGATATTTTTATGGCCTGAAAATGTTCAAAATATAGCCTCTATAAAAAGTCAGCTGAAGCCTTTAAGCGGAGCAAGAGAGATTGATTTGGAAGGACAGAAAATCAGCAACAATCCTACATTGTTAAACTTGAGAAAAATATCCTGGCTTGGTTTCTGTGAAGATTATATACCATGGAGAGAGAGGTAGAGACAATGCAATTTGCTTTGGAAAAAGTCTCTGAACACATGAGGTATAATGCAAGGAATCTTTATTTTCACTAGGAACAAATGCATAGACTACTTTCTGTTCTATTGTCACAAGCAAAAAGTAAAGGAGATTATTTACTCTAGACATGGATACGGCAAGGTATAAACTCTGAATGTTCTCTTGATCAATATTTTCCTTAAGTGAAAAATATATATCTTCAGTTCCAGAAAAATCATGGAATTGTATTATGGAATATTTATTGTGCCTTTCCTTTTCAGACAAATAAAAGATGCACAGGATTATTAATCTATTTATACAGGCCACATTTCTTAAAAGAATTTCCCTCCTCTGTTTCTTCCCAATTTTATTTTTGAGTAAATATTATCACCATAATGTAGCAAAATAAAAAACACATCCCATTTGAGTGGGGAAAATTTGATCAAAGCTTCTGTTCACTAATGTTATTTTTGATCAGTTTTTTCTAAAAAAGAGGATGTTTAAATGGAAGACTGATATCTAAAATAGTATGCTTCTATTGTACTGGTGTTTATGATCTTTCTCTTCTGAGGAGATATCCAGCCTTCTACATCACCATATTCCTACATCTTTCAGCAAATGCTATAAGGAGAATTCTCACCTTTTCCACCAGCACAAACATTGGAAGAGACCTATGTATAGATACTACACAGATATAGAAAACCGCTTCCATTCTTGGAATGCCACAGTATACTGATGTGGGCTATAAACAGCCCAGAGTAAACCAACTTGGATGAACCAAAAAAACCACATTGCTTCAGAAATCAGCTCTGAGGGCATGCTTCTTTGATTCTTTGCTGAAGTGAACAAGTTCTTTGAAGATTTGAAGGGTCCATTTGTGCATCTCTAGCAAAGTAAAGTTCTTAAAATGCAATATTTAACTATATTTATCAAAATAATTATTGTTGATTCTTTAATTATAAATACATCTTACTTCTACTGTCAGTAAGAAAACCTGCCTCAGCAGAAATATGGGCCAAATGTAAATATCAAGAAATATAAAGTCCATAATTTCTATAAGCTAGATGAAACTATAAGATGCATGTATACCATATTTCACACATTAGTCAATAAGACAGACTTTAAATTGCTTCGACTCAAGGCACTGATAGTTTTTCTATCCTGCAGCTCCTACAATAAACAGCATGGCTGTTATGTTAGGCTATATATTTGGAGATTTATGGCACTGGGTTGAATGTATTCATTATTATTTGACAGGATTTCAATACTTTAATATATGGAGAAAGTAAAATAATGCCAGATTGCTTTCAAACCATATTAAGAATGTCAAAATTATTTTTCTTCTCTAAGGTATTCTAAAAGCTTATCTATACAGCAATAAAATGATTTTCAAAATAACATTTTTTACTGGAACTTTCCCTTCTATTTCAAAATTTCAAATAAAAATAACATTTCACCGTATATTATAAGAGAGAAGCCTTACAAAGGGCAACAGTCTAAAGGACACAATTCAGTGTTAGTTTTGCCTGACATGCAGTTGTACCCCAATATTTTAAAAAGTCATCTTAAAGAGCAAATAAGAGTCTGATATTTGGTTTTGTAGATAAATTCGGTGTCTAATGAATAATCAAAGATGATCAATAAGCAATTGTTTCTAAAAATTTCTATTTTTTTTTATTACTGATTATAAAATACATTATCATGAAAAACAATGCTGGTTGTTGCTGACTATAAAATATATTATCATGAAAAACAATACAACTTGTATGTATCAAAACCTACAATACGTTCAGTAAACCATGACCTAAAATTAATTCTACAGGTCTCATTGCAGCTCCTACAGCATTTCTATGTTCCAGTACTGAAATATGCAGGTGGGTAGAACCTGTTTCCCAAGTATGTTCATAAATATCCAATTTAAAAAAACTATCATGTCTATGCTGCACATATTTTAATAAGAGCAAAGGAGACAGCAATATACCATTTTCCAAAGGAACCCCACAGATGATCACAGACTGAAGTCCTATGGTTTCTCAAAAGAATCTAAAATAGTAATGATTTTTTTTCATTTGTTCACCTCCCAAATCTCTTTCAGGAATCCTATTGTTTCATAAACAAAGCCTTTACAACAAATGCAGTCCCAAGCTCCCATCTATGCAGAACAATCAATGTTTAGTTGCAGACAGCTGACAATGCAATATGTAGGAATTATCACTGCATAATTGACACCCTGGTGTACACTTCTGCTTAATTTAATCCAACTCCCCTATGTATTTTTATACATACTTAGCATTGTTGTTTCAGCTTTGTGCCTTCCTCTTCACAATGAGGCTGATCACTGTGTTCTTTGATAACAGATGGTTGCAGGACAAATGTATTTTTAGATGTAGATGTTCAATACATGTCAGTCTGGGAATGCAGAATTTGAATTTTGAACATCAACAGTTACAAAAAAATGAAATTATTTTTGTCTAGTAAAATACCTAAAAGAATATTTTATGAATGTGTCCTCTGTTTTTTCAGTCTATTCTCTCTTGACACATTCTCCTCTCAACCCCAACACTTCTGGATGCTGCAGGCCTAAATAATTAATTGACTTGTAGTGCTGGCTATCAGCTTCACTAGCTTTGAAAAAGGTTGGACCAATTCATGAAGTCAGAGTGAACAAGTTTTGGTGCAGCATGATTCCCTCTCAGGCCCATTTTCTGGAAGACTAGGGCAGTTGGTTGGCCATTTTTAGAACAAACCTTTAGTGTGTTTGCTTGTTCAGTTTTCCTGTTGTTTTCAAGTGTACCTGTTTTTCCTTTGATAAATAAATACCAGGAAAATCAAAGTGCTATTACAGTTTTATTTAAGCCATTGCCTTATTCTAAAGACAAACCTTTTTTAAACATGTTTTGAGATTAACAGCATAAACCTTCTGGTAGTGTGAATGTGAAAACCTACAAAAACAAATTTTCAGTTCAGAAAAGAAATTCAGAAAAGTTCTATTTTCTTTCTCCCTTTTTAAGAGCATGAAATGAAGTTAGGAAAGAGAACATACAGTCTTCATTCATATCTCAGAAGACACTGAAATTTAAATGATGTAAACACATTGACTGTCTTTTGATCAGAGTTAAAGTTAGAACTTTACCACCAATTTCAAGATGCTGGAATAGCAATAAACATTATTTGAAGCTCTACATAGTACAAAAAAAAAAAAAAAAACTTTAGGCAGAGATAATTCAAAACCTAGGCTTGATGCTGTTGTGAGTCTCTTTATTCTGAAGGGCCTCTTACATAAATCTGGGTAATTTTTCAAATGTACTGCCTTTCCAACTACTTCCATCTCTCCCATGTGCTGACCTTTTTAGTTACTGATAAACAGCTGCTCAGGAGTGATGTATTCCAAGAAAACTAACATACCTGTGCTTTGTGTCCTAACTTGGCAAGCCAAATATAAAAGCCCTCATATGTCACCTTCATGTTGTCTAATAAAGCCTTTTCCCTTCTGAATACAATAGACATTTCCTTTTTTAACTGGCCTTTTCAACCTGGCCTTTCATGCTCTCTCTCTCCCTCTCCCTCTCATTATTATGACCTTCAGCTGGGTGAAATGGTGCATCATAGGTCTTTTATTTTTTTGAACCAAGGTACCTCAAATGGACTATCTTTTAGAATGTGCCCAAAATCTGGGAACCATGACTCCCGAGGGAATGAACTTTGGTAAAGTTGAAGCTGCTTCTGTGTTACAGGTTTCACTGCTGGGCTGCTACTATGATCATGTCATCTTCATTTTCAATGTTCCATGACATCTCAGCCAGTTTTTCAATCTCTCTTTCCCTTCTCTACCCAACAGGGGGCGTGCATAAGCGCACCAACGTGCCTACCGTCCCTGTCCTATTGTTTCTCTTATTCTTTTATTTTTCTTATATGTACCCATTTCATGTATTCATAACTATGTATACACTTATACTTATTATCTTGTAAACAATTGGCAAATCAAATAAATAAATAAATAAATAAATAAATAAATAAATAAAATAAATAAAATAAATAAATATTCATGCCCAATGGAAAGGAAATGAGCCCAAATTTTCTGTTGCTAAGTGAGACATTTGTTAAATGAGTTTTGCCCCATTTTACAACATTGTGTGACACAGTTGAATAGTGAATCACCGCAGATGATAAGTTAGAACATGGTTATTAAGTGAATCTGGCTTCCCCATTGATTTTGCTTGTCAGAAAGTTAGAAAAGCTGATCACATGACCCCAGGACCCTGCAACCGTCATAAGTGTGAGTCAGTTGTGAAGCATTTGGATGTGATCACATGATCATGGAGATGTTGCAATGGTTGTGTGAAAAATGGTCATAAGTCACTTTTTTCAATGCCATTGTAACTTTGAATGATTACTAAATGAACTGTTGTAAGTCAAGGATTACCTGATATAGAACAGCTGTGAATTAAGGTTTCAAAACATATATTTGTCTCTTACCTGCTGGTTTACAGGAAAATTCCTGTTGATTTTTTTAATCTATAAAAGTAAAAAGAAAAAATAGATTAATAAATAAACTGATTCAATTACGATTCAGTCACAAAATTGCATTATTATATACTTCCTCTGTGAAACTGATATATATTAATAGGTAGTTCTTTTTAAAAATAATTTTAAGGTGTGTAATGAGCAGAAGGAATAACCTTTGAAAAATGGGAAAGAGCTACATTCAAGTGAGATAAAAGATATCTGAGTCTAGACCAAAACTGAAACCTGAATAAGTGTCTCAAGACCACCATCAATCTCTGTTCTCATGAAGCCAAGGGGGAAGTTCATTCGGACTTGCCAACTCTATTACTATAATCTTATTATTAAAAAATTAACATGCACATACTTAGTTCCTACTATGGTCTATCTTGATGGTTGACAAAGTGTCATTCTTGAATTTTGTACTTAAATGTTCTCTTATCAAATGTAACATTATTATTATGCATATTACTATTATTTTACTAAAATATCATTTTGGTTTATTTGATTTTATATTAATTTAATTCTGTAAATGTCTGTTAAATAACCTTTTTCTAAACATCTCATATTTTGTATGGCAATAATCAGAAGAAAATTTATGTTTTTATTCAGAGAAAAAGTAAAATAGACTGAGAGGTAAATACTGAATAGATGAATGCAAACAAAACACTATTTATTTATTTATTTATTTATTTATTTATTTATTTATTTATTTATTTATTTATTATTTATTTATTTACTTACTTACTTACTTACTTACTTACTTACTTATTTATTTATCTGATTTGTCAATCACTTACAAGATAATAGGTATAAGTATAAACTTAGTTATGAATATATGAAATGGATACATGTAAGAAAAATAAAAAGAAACAGTAGGACAGGGACGGTAGGCATGTTGGTGCGCTTATGCACGCCCCCTACAGACCTCTTAGGAAAGGGGTGAAGTCAATAGTAGACAGTCTAAAATTAAAATTTTGGGGGTTTGGGGAAGAAACCACAGAGTCAGGTAGAGTATTCCAGACATTCACCACTCTGTTACTGAAGTTGTATTTCCTGCAATCAAGTCTGGTGCGGTGAACCTTGAGTTTGTATCTATTGTGTGCTCTTGTATTTTTATGGTTGAAGCTGAAGTATTCATTGACAGGTAGGACATTGCAATGTATGATTTTATATACTATACTTAGATTGGACCGAAGACAGCGTAGTTCTGTTTTCTAGGTCTACAATTTCAAGTCTGATGGCATAAGGTATTTTGGAACAAGTAGAGGAATGGAGAACTCTTCTTGTGAAATATTTCTGGACTTTTTCAACTGTGTTAATATTGGATACATAATGTGGGTTCCAGACTAATGAGCTGTATTCAAGTATTGGTCTAGCAAATATTTTGTATGCTCTAGTTTGTAGTGTGATATTACCAGAGAAAAAGCTACATAGGATTAGGTTAACAACACTTAATGCCTTTTTGGCGATGTAGTTACAATGGGCTCTAGCACTTAGATCATTAGAGATTAGTACTCCAAGGTCCTTGACAGAGTTTGGATCATCAACAAGATCTTGACTATTCAGCTTGTATTTTATTTTCTGATTTTTTTTTTGCCAATATGTAAGACAGAGCATTTATTTGTTGAGATTTGAAGTTGCCATTTGTTTGATCATTCTGATACACAGTCGAGGTCTTTTTGAAGGGTAGCAGTATTGTCTATGGTGTTGAATAGCTTTATATCATCAGCAAAGAGAACACAGTTGGTCTTAATATGATCACAGAGGTCATTTATGTAGAGTATGAAGAGAGTTGATCCTAAAACACTGCCTTGGGGGAAACCACTGTTGACAGGTACAGAATTTGATAGGACATTCCCAATTTTGACCATTTGTTGTCTGTTTGACAGGAATGCTTCTATCCAGTTATGCAGGTGTCCAGAGATACCATAAGATTTTAGTTTTAGTAGTAGTTTGTCATGTACCACTGAATCAAAGGCTTTACAGAAGTCTATGTAGATTGCGTCTATTGCTTTGCCCTGACTGAGTTGTGTAGTCCATATGTTTTTGCAGTATAAGAGTTGCAGGTTACAGGATAGTGTTTTTCTGAAACCGAATTGTTTATTAGAGAATAGGTGGTTTGTCTCTAAGTGGAGGATAATGGATTGGTTAATAATTGATTCCATGACTTTACAGGTGATGCAGCATAAAGAGATTGGTCTGTAATTTTCAACTAGACTGGGGTCTCCCTTTTTGAAGATGGGGATGACCGTGGCTTGTGACCATAGGTTTGGCAAGGAGCTGGTCCTGAAAGATTTTTCAAAAATTATGCTTATAGGTTTGGCTATGGCAATGGATAGCATTTTTAAGAAGCAGGCACATATTCCATCTGGTCCAATAGATAGAGATGGTTTTAGATTGCGTAGTGCTTTTTCAACATTGTCTTCTGTAAAATCGATATGTATTAGACCATTATAGTTGTCGGTGGTTTGACTAGGAAATACTGGGCATGATCCATTGCTGTTTACAAATACTGAGCCAAAGAATGTGTTAAAGAGGTTTGCTTTAATGGTGTCGTATTTGCAGTCTTTACCATTAGGTCCTTTCAGGGGGGGATGGACCTTGAATCTTTTCGTTTGTTGTTTACAAAATTGTAGAAAGCACGGGTGGAATTGGTGCCTAGAAGGTTTTCCTCTTGTTTAATGTGATAATCGGTGCATTCAGCCTTATCTGGTGGCATAAATTTTTGTATCGGCTTTTGAAGTTGGCAACGTGACCAGATTTGTTTTTCCACCAAAGTGATTTCTTTTTGGATTGAAGCTTCCTTATTGTTATGGGTAATCTGTTTTTTCTGGTTTTGGGAGTTGTTATTGGTACATATAGTTTGATGACTCTTTTGACTTCAAGTAAAAATATGTTGTAATGGTCTTCAACAGTATTGCATCCAGTGAATAGAAATTGCCAATCAAAGGATGAGAGATCGTTGTCTGTAAGATCATAGTTGCCTTTTTTGAAGTTATAATTGGGGATCACGTCGTTGTGATGATTTTTGTGTGGATGTATGTTGATACAAAAGTCTCATAATAGATGTGACCCAGCTTCATGCTCCCAGAAACTATTTAAAAAAGAGAAAAATAACAAATCTCCAAAGGATGCTATTCACCTGGCTTTTGAGATCTAAAATAGATCTGAACTCATTCTAGGTCAATATGTATTTTCTATACTGTCTCTATTAAGCTCACAATTAAATTCTAGTCCACATTATTCTCTGGTTAAAAATATACTGTCTTCTTGGAGAAAACTGTAACATACTTCTAAATACTTTCACCTTAGGCACTTCCAGAGAAAAGCACAATACAGATAGAACAAAACAGAACTAAGAATACAAAGTAAACAACTCAAGTATATACCAAAAACGTAAAAGACACTAAGTTGCACCTAACTCTACGTATCTTTAGACAATTGCCTGTTTTGTACAAAGATTGGGGGGGGCAGGAGTGTTTCTTACATGGAACAATCCAGATTTGTAAACCAGATTATCTCTGATGAGAAAAGGACAAAAGCAAATCGCCCCCAAATAATATTGTTATCTTCTGCAACCCATTATTGCATAAAAGATGGAAAACAATTTTTAGTATTGCTTTAATTTGCCTATATTCTTCTTAGTTAGTTTACATGCACATATATAAGTTTACAAGTGTATCATTGATCTGGCAACAACTTATGAGCATACCTTTTTAAAATAGGTTATATAACACCAGGAAAATGTTTTTTTTTCCTAGAAATTTATGATTGTTCTTAGACTTTATGTAGTTTAGGAGCTTAATAAATGCTATAGAGGAAGAGTTTTTATTTTTGAAGGACAATTATAAAAATGGTCATTTATTTATTGGTTAGGCATAAACATTTATTTCCACAATTAAAGTTAAGTAACAGTTCTTTCCCAGAAAAGAGAATGTGCAGAGGCCAACATGAATACTCCATTAGAAATGCTATTTCTAAACACCTAAGCATTAAAAAGAACAAAAACAGGTTATTCTATTTAAATGCTTTGATTATAGATTATGTGTGTGCATGCGCATCTGCATATATTTGTGTGTGTGTGTGTGTATTTACACACACACACAAACACACACACAGACAGACACACACACACACACATTGTATATAGTGCAGTGGTCAGAATGCAGTATTGCAAGCTAGCTCTGCTCACAGTCAGGAGTTCAATCCTAACAGCCTCAAGGTTGATTCAGGCTTCCATTCTTCCAAAGTCAGTAAAATGAGGATCCAAGAGGTGCTATAAAGCACTATGGGGGAGTATATAAGTCTAAATGCTTTTGCTATATATATATAAAACAGTGTCCTGTTAGAAATTGGGGATCACATCGTTGTGATGTCCTTCCTTTTAGGTGGAAGTAGAAATGGAAACCATTATATTAAATGTTGGTCCTTTGCCAACAATAATGGTGTATTTTCACAATGTTGCAACAATCTGCATTCCTTGCTGTGTTGTGAAGTACAAGTGATACAAGCTCTGAATTTTACCTAAAGTATGGTGTATTCATTTCTCAGAATTTCATGTATTTTTTACCAACACCTATTTGAACTGAACTCAATATTTAAAAGATCCTATGGTATTATTGTGAGAATTCTTTGTTTTCCAAAGACTAGACACTTCACACGGTAGCTGGTAATTGTACACAATTTATTATTGTGGCACACATATCTCCCAGATTACGTTGTTGTTCTGGCTAACTCCATCTTCCTAATCCCAACTCTTGCAAATTGATACAGCTACATAAATACATAGTCCTTAGCTTGTAGTCCTGGCAGTTGACCCATCTTGCTTTCTATAATACAGTAATTGTGTATTCCAGACATTGCTTCCCAGTGTCTTATCTACTTGTTTTGTTCCTCCTTTTCTCTTGCACATACCCAAGACTTTTATAGGCTAAGGGCCTTGGTGGGTTGAGTCTGTCTATGGACATCAACATATTTCCCAAAGTGCCAGTATGACTCAATTAGCCAGA